CTCTCTTCACTTGGACCGATCAAAGCAAATCCGGCAGTGAGACATTGATGTTGTTGACAAACATGTGTTGGACTGGCAATATCAGATGCGGGGCAGAACTATAAAAAAAAACAGATATTGGGGTAGCCGATCAGAGTATTTTTTCAGATCCATCAGGTTGCCTTCAATCCGAGAGATGAAGGCAGGTGGTTGCTTTTTTTGCAGAAACTGACGACACTCATTTGCCCTGAAGATATCTGGGGACAGGGATTAATCCAGGCAGAGCTCTCTAAGCCTCCGCTTCTTCCCGACGGTCGAAACTATGGAATCCTTTGGTGACAGATGGAGTGCCGTTGGTCATAATTTGCCACTCAGCTGGCTTGGTTACTTTTGTTAGTCTCGATCAGACCCTCGTAGAGGACTTTTGTGGTCTTCACAAGCATTAGAGGTTAGCCGCAACGGTTTTCGCCGCATTTGAGGCCCCCGCAAAATAATATCGTCATCGAATAGGACTTCTCAGAAGGAGTAAGTCAAGCCTTTGTAGTTGACATATGGTGGGTGTATTCGAGTTTCTGTTTTGCTTTTTGCCGACGTTAAAAGCAGTGACAGCATATTTTTGCGGTCTTCCTAGAAGCGATAAATTTGACTATGTTACGGTGTTGCTAGGCCTATCGAATCTCATGAAGTTCCTTTACAACTGGAAAAGAAGCCAGCCTGAGAGAGAAAAAGAAAAGAATGAGCTAAGTGGTGTTCCAGAATACCCCGCACTCAATCCCAGTTCAGTTTATTCAGGGTCCACTGATACCTGGTACATTAAAAAGTTTATGACCTCATCTACGGCGCCACTCATAAAGGTGCGGCGAAATGTTTGAATAAACGCGAGTTTTGATTGCACGCTACTTACACTCCCCGAAAACGTTGCCTATTGGATACGCCGCATATGTCTCCTCGAGGCATGGCAGTTCGATCTTTAGATCTCTGATATGAATATATGCCAAACTAAAAGATTGCCGGCGAAGGTCCAATATTACATATCCCACAGGGCAGGGTCTCGGGTCTCGAAAATGTTTCCACCTCATTTTATATGAAGGGCCGTATGGCGCATGTGTTTTTATTGAGCAATGTTTCAAGTCTTCATGACTGAACTACCGATCATGGGTATACAGTCTTTTTACAACTTTCACTGACCCCGTCACTGGTCAATATAGTAGTGCTCCCCCGTTTCCAACACCGTGATCGAATCACCTACACGAATGAATCCCTCTGCGCCTATTAGTATGAAAGACTTCTAATTAGTTTGAGAGGCTGCTTACTTTCTGCCGCGGGAACCACTTGCATTCCAAAACAAGCATTTAACTTATTACCTTCATCAATACATCTATACTTACGCATTGTGCGATCTGGTTCTGCAAAGTGCCGTATGCCGGTGTCTTGGTCCACATTAGGCATCTTACATCTGACAGTTCTGCAAGCTGGCAGAAATCATTAATTTGAGCAACTGAAAGTGGAATAAATAACGACGCACAAGTATAATATTCTTTATCCCCCAGTGAGATACGCTTCCATGCATCCTCCTCAAATGCAGGCGGTCCAGACACCATACATAAAAGTCAGTGAGATTGCTGGGCTCGGGGAAAGAATTGACTAACGTATCACGTTTGGGCGGAAGCGGATCGCATCAAGTTTGGGTAGCGAATCTTCCAGACGGGAGTTCAGATCTCTGACGGAGGCCAGATTGACCAAGTGAATCGGGTACTGAAACCACATTAGGCGGCTCTTGAGGGACCCAATTGGATGACTAGACTTACAGCGTCGGCAAAGGCAGTGACGGGCTGATATCCTATCTCTGCCTTCCTTGGAGCACATCTGAAGACCTCTCGGAAGTGGGGTGGACGCAACCTGAAAAGAGCAATTGGGTGCTTTGCGCCAAATGATTCAGCGAAGCCGGAGGGGACCAACGGAGTCATGTTACTGGGGCATGGCATCAGCATAACGAAGCGAGGCTTTTCGAGTAAAAAACTCACCATGCCATTACCACATCCTTCCATATTCGGACTGACTCAGGAGGATATTGGGCCAACTCCTCTTCACTAGGTCTGTTAGCTAGCTGGCGGCTCGAATGGAATGTGACTACTCAACCCACCTTGCTTCCAGCGGTAGCTCGAATGTCTTCATGATTTCACCGGTCATGGCAATCCACCGGTTCAGCCATGTCTTCACAGGGTACCCCACCTCCAGGATTTTGCCGCCAGCTGCATCCTTCTGGCTTCTGAACTGGGTTGTCACTCTTGCAAGAGCTGGATACTGTCTTTGTGTTATAAACACCCATCCTTCTTTTCCTGTTTTAGGGTCGAGCTTCTTCTCGGCAAAGGTGTATTGACGGTCATGTTCTAGGCTGTGGCCATATAATCAGAAACATCTTCTTTGGCGACCAAGCTTTGCAATGTGACCCACCCAGTACTGACAACCTGTGATTCCTTCAGCTCAATTCCGTGGCAAGACTTGATGGGGAATATCCATAATGATTGAACTTTCCACGAATCCGGGCTTTCACCTTGGGCCGTATAGTCGCGAAGGTTGCTCTTCTCCACCGTAAGCACTGCATCCGGCTCGATCGGCGGCGAGATAAGCCGTAACGTGTGCCAAAATACCACACCGACTAGGGAAACTACCGAGGCGGTGGTGAGCAGCAGTGGAATGCTCGACTCGGCACGGACACTGGTAATGTTTCCCGCCATCGTTCTGGCCGGAAGTTGGCGATAGAAGCGATAGAAAGGCAGAGTGGCTAGTTTTCAACCGCCTGAGGAAGCTCAGATACACCACTTGTGCGCCAATTTGAGGCTGCATTTTCTTTTTTTGTTTTCCCGCTTGGCAGGGCCTGTCGCCAGGGTCTCCCTCTCGTTTGGACCACTCCCGTTCAGGTACTGCGTAGTCTCGTATGTTCCTAAGTAAAAGTACCTGGTAGATAATAAACAACGTGGTTGCCCGGACGACGAATAGGGAACCCTGTAAATTGCTTGGCGTCTGCAAGCACCAGCGCTCCAAGTCCGCTGCTTGCCACTCTATCGCGCCCAAGCAATTTCGCAATGAGTCACTTCATCCAACCCAACACTCCATCGTCCTCTCTTGCAGCGTCTCGGCGTAAGTTTACTCTCTTCGTGCTTGTGCCGGCTTTATCCTCAGGGACGGTGCCAATGATGACTCTGCGTATTAGACCGTCTCCCGACCCTGTCCGCCTCACAAGCTCTCAACGCGCAGCAGTCACAGCGGTCACAACACAGTACGGGGTCAAAGCTCCTCGATAGTCTGCTTGGGAATAAACTGTATGCGATTAACCCCCCTCTGAGGAGCTACACTAGGCGGCTGGTTACGTTAGGTTCCTTGGGCGTGGAAGCTAGTAGGCAGGAGAGTGGGAAGGAAACACAGAGGGGAGGGCTTGCGAAGGGGAAGTTGACGGAGGTGTGTGGACCGCCGGGCAGTGGGAAGACGGCGTTTGCGTATGTGCGATCAGTTTGAATTACTCTGGAGTTAATGAGAGGAAGAGGGTCTGATGTTGGGTGGGCGCACAGGATACAAGTCACTGCGAATGCGCTTTTAGCAGGGGAGAAGGTCACTTGGATAGGTGCGATGCAATGCAATGCGCTCTTCCTTTATCGCTAACCTATGCATATAGAAACCGCTCAACCCCTCCCCATCGCCCGTATCATCTCCATACTCACCCATCTCGGCGATCCAGATCCCCACTCCACCCTCTACTCCCTCCGCATCATCAAATGCCCCACCCTCGCACATCTCCTAGCTATCATCCTCCACCCACCCCAACATACACCGACATCTCCATCTACCTTCCCGGAATCTGGCACAGGCGCACTAGTGATTGATAACATCTCTACACTCTTTTCTATCGCCTTTCCGCCTGGTATTGACGGGGAGTTCTTGGATAGGAAAAATGTAGGAGCAGCCGGAAAGGTCCAGCCGAGTGTAAGGAGGTTTGGGATTATGGTGGATTTGGTGGAGGGTTTGGGGAAGGTGGCGGGAATGAGGGATATCGTGGTATGTCCTGCTTCGTAACTTAAATTAGAATATTGGGAACTGACTTGGGCCGGTGAAAAGGTTCTAGTGTTGAATCAACTCACTACACGAATCATCCGCGGAGCAGGCGCATATCTGCAGCCTGCTGTAGGTCTGTTAACCCAGGACTGCTGCCAATCACCCAATTCCAACTCCTCTGAGCCCTATTTTGGTTCTAACACGTATTTTCTCTAGTGAAGCCAACCACAGTTGGACAAACGCCTTTACGAACCGCTTAGTTATCTTCCGCCACCATGTCTCTGCCGATACCCTGGAATCCCCCCAAACCGCAACCTCAATCCGATACATAAGTATCTTAAAAGCTGGAGGTGTTGGTTATGAGAATGAGGATGGGCCAATCATGTCCGTAAATATTAACGAGGTAGGCAATCCGGAAATAGAAATAAATCTACTGAAGCCTCGCTCATGTTTTTTACAGAATGGAATCAGCGACGTCGAATACCTCCCAAACACCGACTCCAGCGGTACTCCAGAGTTATCACCGTCACAACCCCTGTCGCCCACACCATCGACACCCTTCCCCCCCCAGCCAGACCTGGAGCATACCAACCTATCCCATAGCTCCTCCCATCCCCGGAAACAGACTCCACCAATATCTCCGCTGAAATCCCAGGGGAAACGGAAACGGAAACGGGAATTCGCTGTGTTTGAGGACGAGGATGGGGAGGACGGTAGAGAAGGGATTCTTGCTGCTTGGGGAGATGGGTCTTGAGTTGGATTCGATTCAGCAGGCGGTGGGTTTTGAAGAGGGGTTTGGGAAGGTTTGTGGGTATGGGATGGTGATGGAGGGGAGCATGGGGAGGGGTAGGTTATTGGGGTTGGAGAGGGGTATCTAAATTGAGTGAGAAAGGATTTTTGGTTTCTGGTGGTACGCTTGCCGGTAATGTTGGGGATATATTTTTAAAAATCGAAGCTGTATTATCCCTATTGTCAAGGTGGTGGAGTGGTTAACACGTTCGCCTGCTATTGCTATATTTAGCAAAATCAGCGGATGCCTTCTGGGCGCGCAGGTTCGAATCCTGTCCTTGACGTTTCTCATTTCACTTTTTTTTTTTGTCACGTGCTTTTCAATTAATCCAATATTGCAATATGGCTCCTCTCTTCCAGATTCCGCTGATGACTTTTTCTTAGGGAGTGGGGAATATGCCATTATAATCGAGGGTGATATTTAGAAGCTGTAAATAATGTAGGCATCACTAGTACGGTACCAATCATATCTTCTAGTAGTGAGTGGTCTTCGAAGCTAGCATTTGAGTGTCAAAATTATATAGATATCATGGTAGATATTATTCAGCTGGCCCGTAGCCGCTTCAAAATGGAACATTCATGGGTCTAATAATCTATTACCTGGTTCTAGCTAGATCTTGTGCTTCAAACCGCTCTTTAGGTTATATCTCCAGTGATATTATATGATATTCCTCTTGCGGGGACATCTGGTGGCTACATATACATGTACACATCTATACAATCCCATATGCTGGACACATAAAAGTGGGCGCGGCTAGGGTGCTGTAAGAATGCATATCTGATACGGCCTGAACATATTATATTACCAATGAAAAGTGAACATCTAGAAATGATTGGACAGAAGAGGACTTTGAAGGAGTGATTTGGAGTGATGAATGTAAAGTGTAGAAAGGCAAAAAACAGCAAGTAGAGCACAATATGAATATTTCATTCGGCTGGTGAGCAATTTGAACCAGAATGTTGAATTAGAACAGCTCGAGATCTTACAGTTATGGATTTGGATTGCTTTCGGGGCAAACAAAATTTTACAGTATTACTTGATGGGCGGAGTAATGCAACTTACATATCAGAGGACCATTTCTTCCGAGTTACAGTAGGCAGGGAAGAAATGTATGTGGAGGGTCCTTGTAACACGAAGCATGACAATCCACCCAATGACATGGCAAAAACAAATTGTTGCACTTCTCGAAAAAATTTTTTTTTGGTTTGATCATCCTCCATATTTACCAGACCTCAATCCTATTGAGCACGTATGTAGAAGTTATCCTCATAAAAAAAGGGGGAGTGGGGGGGAAATGTGAGACCCTGCACATTTCTACATGGAGGAGTGACTACGATTTTGAATCTTGCGGCGGCCATTAGAATTGCTTGAAGGAAGTGGAATGAGATTCCGGCATCTTCCTTTTAAGTCTCTATACCAATCTATGCCTCGCCGAACTGCAGGCCAATAGGTGGTACTAAGTACTAATGTTAGGTCGCAGAGGATTGTATTGATATCCGGCTCTTCTTCATTCGCCTGCTGGCTATATATAGAATAGCCGCGCCCTTGCATAGAGCCCACGCTAGCCGTATGCGCCTCGGATGGATAGTATGTACAAATAATAGAGATAATATCATATATACGCATAGTCTTTTCTTAATGTACTGATATTTTAACGGAGATATGCATGTATGAATTCATTTACTCTCTATCGCGTTAATATATTATTTATTTTGATATTTAAATAGCAGCAGTCAAGGTGGTGGAGTGGTTAACACGTTCGCCTGCTATTCCGAGTTTACTCTGAAAGTTAGCGGATGCCTTCTGGGCGCGCAGGTTCGAATCCTGTCCTTGACGGTACTCTCCTTTTTTTACTCGTGCTGACTCCTTTCCTCGAAATATGTATGTTAGTAGGTACCGAGCCGAGCCCTGGTAATTTACACAACATACATTATTGCGAACTTGCGAATATTCGGAGCCCTATGTTGCGTGCGGCTCATGGTTAATGAATCTTGTATATTGCGAGATTTTGACACTTTTGCAAAACATCATGGAATTATGTTTTACCACTTTTGGAAACTATTTCCGTTACCTATGAGAAATGTAAGAACAGTTCTTCTTCATGTTTCACCTGGCCAGCCCTCGGTAGGTTACAGTAGACATGATGCGTGTACATACATACATACATACATTAATACTTGCGACTGGACCCGCGTGTTCTCACAAGTTTGTTTGATGACGATGATTTTGCAACTGCGATCAGTTGGCACAGGTAAAACACCACCAAACTAAGTAAGGAATACAGATCATCATCATAGATATTTGCTTTTCCCCCCACTTTCCTTTCCCCTCCCCCACCGTCCCCCAAACTCCCCTCACAAGAGAGAAAAACTTATCTGCACAGGGACCCCGGCAGCCCCACATCTCCGCCCTGACACGAACCCCGCAATATTAATTGTATCGATATTAGGTAGTCTCATTTTAATATCAGATATCAAATCGAACGGGCGAGAGAGCTCATGGCCACCTCATCTCTTTTTTTTTTTTCACACTCCCACAATTTATTCCATTTTGGGCTGCGAGTACGCGTTTTGTTTATTTGTTTATTCCTCAGGTATTGGAATACCCTTATCTTGGCCGGGGCCCACCTTGTAGAAGAAGCAGGCAAGGGGGATCCCCCCCCCCTTGGTATATATATATATATATATATATATATACGTGGTAAATTGGTAGATTACCTACTCGTACATAATCCAAAGTAAAATGACTTGCTTTCCCTAGTTCTCCCGCGGCCTGGGCCCCCACGTCAGCCCGCCCCGCGATTTGTAACAGAGCTACAGTAGATGGGGACAGTTGACCATAATGGCTTGCATATACAGAGTAACCATGCAGTTCAGTTTCAATTTCAGTTTCAAAACAAACGACTGTGGATTAGATTGATATGTGCCCACCAGGCTGGATTGATATTGGGATATGATCTGCCTCTATTGCTTTTCTAGCCAGCTACTGCAGACCTAAGTGCGGAAGCGGCAGAGAGGAAGATCAAAGAAAAAAAAAAAACAGAAACTTGATAAAACACAAAAAACAAACGCCCATTTGGAGTAATAATATTTGGGGGAGCAGGAGAAAAAGCAGTAATAGATACTATGCTCCACACTCCATTCAACATACTATTAACTACTTATTAATACCGTTGAAATAAAATCTTCACAGCCTCGCGGGATAGGTAAAGAAAACCTGGTAACAAGGGGGGTAACTCCAGGAGCCATTGGATGTGTTGGTAAGATAATGCTGCAAATGTAGTGGATTCAGGGTAATTGGGGTTACGCAGGACAAGTTATTCCGGCACTGTCGGATCTCTTACATCCGCTATAATCTTTTCCAGGATTAGATCAAAGTACTTCCGAAGCTTACTCAAATCCAGCCATACTATATTCCTCAAGCCTGCCATTAGCATACCATCAGTCATGTGGGTAATGTACATTGAACTCACCTAAGCTATTATTCAATCTAATGGGGCCAATCTTGTCCTTATTATACTGCCAAGTAGTAGGAATATCATAATTCCTAAAATATTCTTTTTCTGCTTTAATGGCTGCGTCTCGAATAGCTGCTTCTTCGTCTTCTTGAACGTAGAGATCGCATTTGTCACAATCCACACAGGCGGTTCCGGGAACTTGACGGAAGTGTTGGCAGAAATGTTTATAGCCTTCGTTACCGATGTCGGCCCGGCAGATGTAGCTATGGATGGTTAATATATGGAATTAATGGGACAGGAGGGACTACTGCTGAATGGGGATACTGACCACATAATATATCCACACACGCAAGTGAGCTTATTACAACCATCCGCCTTGACAAATGATATACGACATACTGGGCACTGGAATTTTTCAATGGTCAGCATATTCAAGCATAAATCTATCCTGCCACTTCATCCTCTTAGTCCCGGGATGCAAAGATATACATACCGTTCTTTTGACCGCGTTCGCCATTGCCTTTTCAACATAGATTCTCATGCTATCTTCCTCTTTTTCAAAACACTTATGGAACGCCGTCCATTCTTTACTACACCCAATGCATGATTCCCGCTTACACCGCTCGTTACGGCATTTGAATAATGTCCCTCTCCGTTTCAGCTGTATCCTCCGTACCGCATTCTGCCAATGTCTGTGAAGCGAGACCAGCTTAATTGTATCTAGTACAATTCCGCTTGAGTCTCTCGGTAAGAATGGTGTAATGAAATATGTGAACAAGAAGAGAGGTGCGAGGGTCGAGAATACTGGCTCTGGAATATATATGTAAAGCATCAATAAAACCAATATTCCACATACTTTGGCCCATTGCCGTATGCAGTACGGCTGTAGCTCATCCGCTTCTGCATAGGAGCAAAAAGGGCAGCGAACGAGGCTCATGCCAGAATGGTCTAGGTTCTCTGTAGCGACCTTTTCTTCCATAGCTTGGAGCATATCTTCCGGAATAACGTTCGCTAGTATTTCTGGAGGTATACATGCATCACAAATTGGCGAAGCTGCAGCGGAGATACAACGGATGGATGACTTTGCACCCATCATACTCTGCCCTTGGCCATATAGGTTTTCCTGGACGCTTCTCTTGAGGCACCCATGGCAAATGAAATGACCCACTGAGCATGCTGCGATTTCGTTCCAGGAATAGTCCCCATAGCATGTTTCGCATCCAATAAGCTCTGAGGCAGCAGCATGCTCCGCTTCATCCAGCAGTGCTGATACTAGAAGGAAGATACGTCAGGAAAATGACCGGGAAACACTAAAAAAGATCTTGTGGATCATACTTTTTCGATCTTCAGCAATCTGGGCCTCAATTTTGTCCATCCCTAACTCACGAAGCTCTGCATCAAGCTCCTCACAGCCTGTAGCATGTTGCTCACAAACGACATTGACAGCTTCCGCCTTTTTCCGTCGAAAGAATGCAGAAACAGAAAACCTCCATGATTTTGCAGCTATTCTAGTGAGAGTAGCTCTGCTCTTTCGGTAGTCATGATTAGTCTCCATCATGACCGCTTGGATCGTCGATTTTGAAAGGCCTTTGAATTCGTTTTGCCTATTTTCGAATATACATGAGCCAAGGCCCAAGGTAACAGCATTTCAATACATACAGAAGCTTCTTGACAGCTGTTTGATATTTCTGTGACCTGAACTTTTCAGCAGGCTCCAAACTGGCCCTTGCATTTGGTCGAGCACCTTTGGATGGTATTATCAATAGACTTTCGGTGACAAGATACAGTCGAGACTCATCAGAGGACTTCAAGAGTCGATCTCGTATATCATCGACATCTGCTTCTGGAAACACCTGAGCTAGAATTTCGAGATATTCGTTCAACTCGGTGCCTACATCATCGGCTGGCGCACCAGATGTACCCGGGCTACTCGAGGAAGAAGAGGCATGGGCGATTGACGAAAAGAAGTTCGAAAACATCGGAGAAGGAATAGTCTAGCTGATCAGATGTCTACATCGAACTAATTGCGACTGTTTGGGTCCATACACAGTCCATGTTATATTTATAGGTGCTGTACCTGTTTCTTGGCAAAATAAGCCTCATGGAGTTTATGATAGGAATCCTCACAACAACAAATTTCACATTTTACGGAGGAATAAGTTGTTGTGGCCGAGGCAATACTCTGCAAACATGACGGGGCCGCTGTAAACAATGTTGCGGTGGTTATTATTGCGTAGAATGAAAAAAGGGTAGCTGCCACGGTATATCGTCTATAGTATGGATATATACATCGCTTGTCTATGCCTCTAGCTAATGGTTCCACCAACGAACTCCCAATCGTCTAGAATGGTTTAAAAAGGCTACGTAGAAAGAATTAGTATTGCGCTGAGCCGATTGGAGTGGGGTCCATACGTTATCGGATGCTGGGATCTCTCTACCAGTCCAGTACTTTCCAATTACTGGAACCTTCTGTTGTTGGGGTTAGTTGGGTCAATTCGGTGGAGAGCGAGGTGTAGAACGTCATACCTGCAATATATCCTGCTGGACGCGGGGGATTCCTTCTAGGAAGTAGATGGCAGCGAAGCCAGCAACGGCACCGAAGCCACCAAGAGCAAGTGCGCTGTAGCCTGGGTCAGCGGGCTTCGACCGAATGGGCTTGACGAATTGGAGAACTCACTATGGGGCAGCGGCCCTGGCCGTGAATCCGAAGAGATGTGGGGCGGGCTTAAGCCTGTGGGAAAGTGGTATTAGCAGCTGTATTACTGGGATAGAGTCTAACACCACGGGTCGCTCTCTTACTTTGGGCCAAATTTAGAGGTGTATGCAGGCTGTCAAGGGCGGGGTTGTCAGCAGAACGCTCAATGCGACTTCACCGGAAAGAACTGGAGGAGAGTCCTGCCATTGCGAATAGTAATTAGCTGTGAAAGATGATTGTTGGGCTACTACTGCGGCGACGGGAGTGAGAGCTTTGATATATTGTGGGGAATTTCCGGATGTCACTAGTGTGATGAAAAGTGCCAAGACTTAGAAACGAACCGTTGGCACCTATGTACCTACGGAGCGAACATCAAGTCCTACTGTATCTACACATCTGTAATAAAAATCGACCGGCGAGCGAGGGCTGAAGGAAGCTTTTTTGCTCAATATCGACATGCTAGCTGTCGTGTGATAGATGGTTAGCTAGATGGATAGTATGTGAATTTGAATTAAGACACCTATATCATAGGTTCTACTTACGTGCCGCTTTTCGCAGTGACTTGAGGGTAACCAACCAACCAATGTATCAAATGTTCGACGTCGTGAGCCTGCACAGGTGCGACGCTAATTTCTTAGCTAGCACTACATTTAACCATGGCCGTAACCAGTACTAGAGTGTTGA